CCCTTCCTAGCAAAGGAACAATAAGGAGGATGTGCTCCAAGTAGTGCTTGATCTACCCACTTGGCATCTATTAGGTTACTAAGTGGAGTAAATGATCCTTGACAAAATCATTGAATCCAAAAATCAACTCAATAGAAAGGATAACAAACTGAGTGAATATTAAATTAAACTGAGTGAATATTATATTGTGTTGTGTCCTATACATGGCATGTTATGTTGTATGGTAGGATAACAAACTGAGTGACTATTTATGTACAAATTAAACAACATAGAAATTAAAGCTCCGTACGGGAAAGAAATGAACCTTCTCGTATAATCCTGTTAATCAAGTCTGCGCTCCTCCGTACGATGTCGCTTTACTCCCTGAAAACACAAACGTGAGCTAGTCGGCGGGTGTGTGCCGGATACCTCTCCGATGCCTAAGTCAGCAAAATAGACAAATAGACAAAAAACTCTGTGTATTCAGAAATCAAAGTTGTGTTACCTCTCCATAGGTGATGTTATGAGCTTTTATAGGTTCCATGTGGCACAATCCTAGTAGGACTCTATTTCTGCCTAGTAGAGTCCTCCTAGAAGTCACATTCTTAAATGATAATGCTTATCCTCAGAACACCCTTCCTCACTGCCAGCCAAGTGAGATGGCAATACTCTGCTCAGCTATCGATAACTAACCGAGCTACCTTTACTCCGTTCTGCCTCTGGCCGAACTGTGAAAACCTTGTCTGCCCAATGATGCACCGTCGAGCTACAGCTAGCTCGACTTTCTTTTCCTAGATAGTTAATCTAGTACCTCAGCCTGTCTATGGATCGTACGTGGATAACTAGTTCCAAGCCTTAACAGCCCATCACTGACTGGCATATTACAGGTTCAACCCAAGACCGTGTTATCTAAGCTCTTATCTCGGCCCATTGTGTGGCCCAATCTCCAAAGAGGATCCCACTTAACTCAGACCAATTTATCTGCACAAATTATCCTGTCAATAATGATCAACTACGCTAGTCCAATTGATCACTCTAATGTTATACTAAATGCAATAAAAAATAAAAAACAAAGATAATTATTAATAGGTCTTATGGACGGTTACTCATAAGTGTTGAGGGATTTTTATTTTTATTTTTATGTATTTACTTTTGTTTTGATAATGAGAAAATTTTAAAATTTGTGGAATAATCATTTGTTATTGACAATTATATCAAAAAATTTATCAAAGTGATAACTAATTGGAGCATTTTGTTTTTTGTTTGTAAGTTTTGCTTTACTTTTAATTTACTTGTGTTAGTTTTTATTGAAATGAGTATAGCTATTCAAACCCAAAAATTAAACTATTTTCAACCCCAATGATCAATCAGCTAATCACTGTTAAGTGTTATTTTTAACTTTCATATCTTCTCTAATTATCAATTAATTGTCTCACTTACACATCATTATATTTAGAAAGTGAGTCTAAAAAGTGGATTTGTATATCATTTCCTATTAAACTATGATATAAAACGTGTAATAGTTGAATCATATTTTCTAAAGATAGCTTATCTTGACTCAAGGAGTTTCTAGGGCCTGGTCCTGTATTTAAAGATGATTTGGAGGATGGCTCATCTTGGGTAGCTCTTCTGAGTTCTCTGTGTCAGCTGCTTATAAATGTGCAGAAAATTCTCTTGGTCCCCCTCTCAGAATTAGTGAGCCAATGTGGATTAAGTTTGCACCCCCAAAAGTCCAATTCTTTGACTAGTTAGCTTTAAAAAATAGAGTTAAGACAGCAGATTTCCTGCAAAAAATTGGTGTTATTCATGCTAATGTTTCAGCTCTTCGTGTATTCTATAAATTTGAAAATGAATCAGCTGGTCATGTTCTGCTATATTGACATTTTGCTTGGAAAGTTTGGGTTGCAAATTTGCAATGCTAATTGGTGAGAGGTGCAAGGGGCTTTACCAGGTACTGTTGAAGGTGTACTACAATGTTAGATCGGTGGACCCTGATAAGTACTGTTCACTCAACCCTACTGTTCACTCAAACACTGGGTCCAATGAGGGGTTTGGGTACTTTCGTAATTCCCATGTGCTTCCGTGTAACCCTAATTCTATACTTATAAATAGATGATGAGGCGCCTCTTTTAGGTTAAGAGAGAGAGTTATATATATATTTTTTATCATAGTGAAAAATCGCAACAGTTGTGGACGTAACCCTATTAAAGGGTGAACCACGTAAATCTTTGTGTTCTTGTGTGTGTGTGATTTGTTTGATTCGTTTTTCCTCTTTGTTTGTTATTTCGTGTCTCACAGATCTTGGTTAGGAAGGGTCAATTCCTAACAACTTGTATCAAAGCATTGGTTCGAGTGTGAGCGATGGTTACAGACATAAAGGTTAGAATCGATAAATTCAATGGCATAGATTTCAGATCTTGGAAGATGCAGATTGAAAACTATATGTATCAGAAAAAACTGTATGAGCCTTTTTCATGGATGAAACCAGAAAAGATGAAGGATGATGAGTTGACTTTTCTTGATCGCTAAGCACTAGGTGTTATTCGGCTAACATTGTCTTGTAACGTTGCGTTTAACATAGCGAAGGAGAAGACTACAACGGGTCTCATGGCGACATTCTCAAACATGTATGGAAAATCCTTTGCCTCAAATAAAGTTAATTTGATGCGTAGATTGTTTAATCTGAGGATGACATAAGGTGCTTCGGTGGCTGAGCATCTGAACGAATTCAATATTGTGGTAACATAATTGAGTTTTGTATCTATCGAATTTGATAATGAGGTTAGGGCTTTGATTCTTCTATCTAGTTTGCTAGAAAATTGGAATGGTACTATAACAGTAATGAGTAATTCTTTGGGGAAAGAAAAATTGAATTACAATGACATTCAAGTTTTAATTCTGAGTGAAGAAATTCGCAGGAGGGAATTAGGGGAAACATCGGGTTCTATCCTGAATACAGAAGCCAGAGGAAGATTAGTATGAAAAAACTTGAACCGTACAGATCAAAATCCAAACACAAAAGTAAGTCTAGAATTGGAGAGGTACAGAGTTGTTGGAACTGTGGAAAGAAGGGACATCTAAAAGGAGATTGTCCGACATTGAATAAGAACAAAGATGATCAAAATCAGAAGTCTGTTAATGCTGCAACGCAGGAGATTTATGATGCTTTGATCATGAGTATTGACAACCCTATTGAATCTTGGATTTTAGATTCTGGGCCATTATTCCATTATACTTCATAGAGGGAAATTATGGACAATTACATTGGTGATGATTTCGGGAAGGTTTATTTGGTTGATGATGAACCTTTGAAGATTGTGAGTAAAAAGGATGTAAAAATCAAGTTGCCAAACAGATTTGTTTGGAAGATACAGAATGTTAGACATGTGTCTGGTTTGAAAAGAAATTGATTTATGTTGGAGAACTTGATGATGAAGGTCATGTTGTGACCTTCATGGGTGGTTTGGGGAAAATCACCAAAGGAGCCATGGTTGTTGCTCGTGGTCAAAAAGAAGACACCATTTACACATTAAAAAGGCTGAAAAAAGCACACGAAACACCCATCTCCGCCGCAAGTCCCGACAGCCAGTGAGAGGCGTAATCAGAGATAATCCAATCTGGGTTCGGGCTAATTTTCTCGAGAAAATCCGAGAGTGGTTGTTTAAGAAAATCGAAGGCGATTTTGAGGAGCTGAGCATGGTGGTGTGGTGCGTCCATGGAGGATTCGGCGTTGGGTGGTAAGTTGAGGATGGCGGGGAAGGGGAGGGGGATGAAGATGATGAGAGGGGAGAGGCGGAGAGGGATTTGGGGGAGGCGGCGGAGGTTTCCGTCGGTGGAGATGAAGGAGATGCGGTGGCCCTTGGTGGCTAAGGTGGTGGAGAGGTGGAGGAATGGGATGAGGTGACCCATGGCTAACCACGGGAACATGATTATGTGAAGAACTTCTTCATCATTAATATCAACTCTGTTTTCCATTTGAGGATAGGGAAAATGGAGGACTTAAGAAGATGTTGGGTGATTCCTTATGAGATTTTGATGAGAAGTGAAAACCCAATAAGTATATTGAGCATTAGAGAGAGAAATGGACCTGATTCGAGGAGATCTTCAGTGTAATCGTTGCCCCAATTCGTTCGATCGATGCTTTGTCTGTGGCTTTCCACTGTAGATAGAGAGAGAGAGAGAGAGAGAGAGAGATGGGTTTGAAGAGAGAAACAGTGAAATGGGTTTGAAGAGAGAGAAACAATGAAATGGGTTTGAAGAGAGAGATGGTGAAATAGCTGAAATGTGTTTGAAATGGGTTTCAAAATTGAAGAGTATATCCAACGGTGAAGAGAAACACTGAAATGGGTTTGAAGAGAGAGACGACGAATAGGCTGAAATGTGTTTGAAATGGGTTTCAAAGTTGAAGTATATATCCAACGGTAAAGGTAGAAGGATACAACCTTTAACTTAATCTCAGCCTTTCAATCTCATTTTCACCTAAGATAGATGTTCCATCTGGTTTGAAAAACAGAGCTTTCTCAACCATTGATATATATTTGGGATTGATCTTAGCCATTGGATCAAAATGTATCTCACATACATTTTGATATATTTTTCAAAAAGCTTTGTGCCTTATTATATATATATATATATTAAATATAACAGAGTGAAGCGGTTTTGAGGATAATTATAAGTTTTAAAGTTTAAATTGCGACGGTACAAATTGATACAGATTACTTTAGCGATATTTTGCGCAGCCAAATAGATATATATGGACGACACACGTGTTAAAGTCTGGAGTGGATTCTATCCATTGAGAATTAGGGTTTCTGCGTACGCGATTCTGGCATATCTCACTCGCAATCCGATATCAGCACTCCAAACTCCATATTGTTAGGCTGGCTTCGATTGAAGGATTTCTTTCTCACATTGCCATTGACATATCCAGATGTTCTTTTATCATCACGACGAGCGTGGATTGATTTCATTTTCTCTGTGTCTCTGATTTGTTAACTTGGGTGATTACACACACACACATATATATATACCGACGATGGTTGAGCGAAAGCTATTCAAGACAAAGCTATGCGTGCTGTATCAGAAAGGTCACTGTCCGCGTCAGACCTGTTCGTTTGCTCACGGAGATGCGGAGCTCCGGCGCTTCTCTGCTTCCTTCAATGGTAACTCTCATTCTTAGTTCACTTTCTTGAAGAAATTCTTTTCAATTTTGAGCCAAATTTTTAATATATATATATATATGAATTTAAATAAAATTCAATTTCAGATTAATCAATATCATTTTCAATCTGTACTTGGTCATTCTCAACTTGTTTGGCTCTAGTAACTAAATTTACGGAAAGGCAGACATGTATCGTTATGTTTCATCGTTGCCATTATTAAGCTTAAAATTCATATATGCATATATGAAATTGTGAAATATTTTAGTTTTTAAATTAGGCAAGGGATTAGCTAAATTAAATTCAAACCAATTGTTCATCTTCAATCTATCAACTAAACAATTAAACAATCAATTTAAGCAATTTCATGAAAATAAAAATAAAAAATCAACCATGAGACAAGATAATTAAAGTGGAAAAATTATAGAAGCCCACCTCTATAGGAGAAAACCACGATTTCAATACCCAAAACAAATGCATTAGTGAGTCAAACGGTTACAAGACTCTATAAGAAGGAATTACAACCCTTATCCAAGTTATCACACACCGTAGAGAGTCCGGCACTAGCCTCACCAAACTTGATCTTTACTCCATAGCAGACTTGACTGTGTCAAAGCTCCTATAGGGATAGAGAAGAAGTTAGAAAGTGAATAGTGAGAGTTTTGTGTGAGATTTATCAATCTAGATGAAGAATTTGAATTCAATTCATGACTTAATGTTTTAGACTAAACTGAAATTGAGATTCATCTTCGAACACTTTAAGAACAAGCTAATCCTCTAAGGAGAGAAAAATGTGATAGCTTTTAAACGATTAGAGGCAAAATGAGAATAAAAATAGGTCAAATTCGTATCGTAAGTGCTCAAGCACCTCTTCGGTGTGCTTCTTTGTAAATTTTGTACTCAAGCTGCTGTCAAACCATTGTCAAGCGGGGTTTAAATGCATTGAAAAACATTATGATATTTTTCTTGCTCAAATTTCAAGTTCTATATGGGTTATGCAAGTGAGATGCAAAACAGTGTTGTGCAAAGGTTTCAAACGGGGTTCATACTTGTGGGTAATAGAACAGGAGGCTTGCATCAACAACTGAAAACACTTGATCGTATGGACTCCGTATCAATCTCTCATCTTAAAAAAAAAAAAAAAAAAACCCCCAAACCCAAAAGTCCCAATATTACAAACTCTAAAGATTTTGATCAACAGAATTTGCCAACCTAACTACATGTATCTTAAGAATATAAACACAAAACAAACTTTCTAATTCGTCTTCTTTTTTCCACCTCTAATGTAATAAGATGAGAAAGATGGGAATACATAAAGTAATGCATGTTGTAGAATGCACCACATACATTCCATTTAGCAGATTGAGCTGTCTATCTCTCTATTCTTTTTATTAAAAAAAATTCCTTTACCCCCATTTTATCCTTGTCATTCATGAAGACTCGAAAGGTTTGTAGCAAAGCAAATGTGCTATAAAAATAGGCTTATATTGTTGATTTTTTTAGTGTTAAACAACTTAAACTAATCACTTGTTTAGGTTAATCGTTCAAAGAGCTAATTGATTATATAATCATAATTTCTATATTGACCCCTTAGGCCTCGTTTAGGAACAGACTAATTTAGTAACTTTTTGGCTATTTAGCTAAAATATGAGCTAAAAAAAACTAGTATGTTTGGGATGACTTTTTGGTTTTTACGAAAAGATGTGCAAAAAGTAGAGAGAAAAGAGAATCTTTGACTTTTTGGTATGGGTTGTTGGCTTTTTGGCTTTTTGGCTTTCTCGCTTTTTGGCTTTCTGGCTTTTTGGCTTTTTTAGTAACTTTTTGACTTTTTGGCTAAACCGGCATATTGCCATCCGAGGCCTTAATGCATTGTTGCACATAGTGTTGTCTGTTTTGGGGTTTTCAAATTTAGTAGAGAGTTTAGACACTGGTATAAATGTTCCCAATATGAGATGGTCATACAACTTCGAATTTACTATTGACAAAAGTATTGGATTTGTTGATTAACATTTGATGCTTGTATAATTACATTCATTCGATTAAATTTCTTGCATATATTTCGTATTTATTAAAATTTTCTTCCATTTACCATTCTTTATCTCTCTAAATTAATTGCTTTTTTGGTATCAATGAGATTATTCGTTTTTCTGTTGAGATATAGAATGACAGTTGTAAATTGAATGTATGGCTCGTTGTTTATTTTTTTTATTTCTTGGGTTTGCCAAATTTTCACAAGATTGCTTAAAAGATATACTGAAAGCATGGAAATAATCAGAGTGAGAAACTGAAGTCGGCATTTGCATGAGCTTTGAACATTACGCTTTGTAAAATTTAACAGCAGATCTACTTCCCAAATTTTCAAGCCATTTTCATTTTAGAGACTCTAGTTGTCTCATTTTCAAATCCATTATCCAGTGTCTAGTAGTCTGTCCTCCAAGGGCATACTTTTTTCTTCTGTATCTTTTTGTTCTACCTTTTGCTTAGTTGGTTTCCACCCATTAATCATCATAATGGTGATTTATTTCTCTGTCAAAGTTCATTTTGTGGCTGGTCCCATATTGGTCTGATATTTATGTCTTAATTTCTACGTAAGTCATGGCAAAATGGTACCCAAATGCGTGTGGTTAACTACAGAATATATGTGGGAAGAAGCCCATATTATTTATTGATTGGCTATTTCAGCAGTTTGGGTATGTCAATAATCAATAGAAAGTTCATATTGACTGACAGGCTTTAGTATTTTTTTTCATCAGAACAGATTATTCTGGTTGGTTTTATCTTGATGGTGCTTATGACATTATTTCTGAGAAAACTTCATCTTGGTTTATGCTATGCATCTAAGAAACAACAGTTTTGTATGAAGGATCAGAATTAGGTGTTTATGGAATATAATACCTTCCAAAATATATAGATCAGAAGCTGGTTCGATGGAACATCCAAATGTTTTTCTCTACCAAGCTCTGCAGTTAATATTGGTGGAGCATGTGGTATTTTCTTCATTCTTCATTTGTGACTTCTCCTTGAATTACATTGCAAAGAGGTATCTTGGATGGGAATTGTGCTCAGAAAACACCAATATATTGCATGTGGGGTGAATTATTTTATATCTTGATGTGGCACTCGGAACCAACCTGTACCATACAGATTGCATATTTCTTGTTCCTCAAGAAGACAAGGATGTCTCCTATTCTTTATCAGTTGCTTCCATGATATTCGAATGGTTTTCTCCATGGTGTAAGTGCAAACACTGGTATATCTATATCTAATTCATTGTGTGAGAGCGCTAATTTCCATGGATCCTGTGACACTGGCAAGAAGACACTATAACTATTCATTATTATGTTACTCATGTTGTACCATGTAATGGTAAGATTAGCTTCATATAATGGTAAGCTTAGCTTCATTATCAGTGATGGTCTCTCTGCTTAATTTCAAGTTTGCAATGAATTGATGAGTTTGTCCACCGTACTGGAAATGCTTCTCTTCCTTGTTGCAGGTAGACGTGACTATCGAAATAGTGACTTGAGAGATAAGATTGACAGAAGGCATTCTCCGCCGCGTAGGTATTCTCCTGAGAGAGATACAAGAGGCCGACATACACTTCGTGGTCAGCAATTTTTATCCTTATGATTGTCCCTTTTTTTATTCTCTAGAAGTTATGATACTGTTATTTTTGAGTTTGAGTTGTTCTTCTTGATTTTCTATTGAGGAGTGGAGTTCAGTTGCTGCTGTGTTAATATTCTGGCTATTGATCTTTTGATTTAGCTTTTGTGCTCATGATTATTATGGATGGTTCAGCACAGTGAACAACTAAGAAGCGCAGACACTTTTAAGAAGGTGGTGTGTCCGTGTTGGATATCAACACTCGTCAGACACTTCCTGACATGTGTCTGAAACTAGCCAAAGCGTGCCCTATCCTACCTTTTTTTTTATTAAAAAAAAAAAAATTAGACCCGAACACTCGTTGGACACTTGGAAGACACACATATTTATCGTTTAGGCACCCATGAAACTAATGATAAGTTTGAACAAAAGAACTTAAGATACAATGACAAGAAAAACAATGTAGGAATTAATATGCTTGCTTGGTTCCATTTTTCCAAAAATACTTTTCAGAAAATTCTACTTTCTTATTTTCCGTGTTTTTTTTTTGTTTTTACTAAATTTTTTTAATATTTTAAGCAATTTTTTTACTTTTTAGACACACCTAACATAAATACACCTAAAAAGTAAAAAAATTGTAAAAAAAATCTTTTAAAAATTCACTAAATACGAAAAATACAAGAATTCAGTACATTTTTTGTATTTTTATGTATTTGTTAATTTTTTAAAATATTTTTTCACAATTTTTTTACTTTTTAGATACATCTAAGTAAGGTACATCTAAAAAAGTAAAAAAAAAATATTTAAAATTTTAAAAATATTCACTAAAAACAAAAAAAATACGAAAATAAAAAAACTCAGTTTTCAAAAAACTTAATCCAGAAAACTCTAACCAAATACACTAAATGTTATGTTGCATTTTTTTTATTATTATCTTCAAATGATATATTCATATATATGACATATAATAAATATATAAAACTTAATATTTTATGTGTGTCTTCCACATAGCGTGTCTTGCATTTTTAAAAAATTTCGTTGTTAGCGTGTCTGTGTCATGTTATGTGCTATGTTATACGGACTCTTCAAAATAAATCAAATACTCGTGTCGAACACGCGACACTCGGACAAGGGTATGGAATGTGTCAAATATTTTCAATGGACACTTCTTATATAATTGTATATAACACTATTATTATATGTATATATTGTCGTATAATTGCTATAAATATCTTTTTGACACTATAAGTTACATATGACACCATTTTATCTCGCATACTTGATTGGAGATATAAAAATATGACCTTTTTTGGCCGAATCCACGTACCCTTGAATTTATGATTTGATGAGTCCGACATCTAGATACATATCCGTACCCGACACCCATACCATACCTGAATTCATGTAACATAGGTTATGTGTTTCTCTCTGTGCTTCTCAGGCTAACAAATATAAGGATGGCAATATGATATTCCTTTTCCATTTACTGTTTTGGATCATTCTCCTTCTAAATTGTGTTTACTTCATTTAATTTGCAGGATACAGCCCCATCAGTTCTCCTGGGAAAAGGTGGTAACTTGGATATAGTTAACTCTACTTAGTACTGCTGTATTATTCTTTTAAAATAAAGCAATGCTAAATTTATTTATAACATAGTTAAATTCATTGAAGAGGGAGAGAGAGAGACAGCTAAATTAGTGTAAAAATTTATGTATTATTGATTGATATATTTCTTGATTGATTACAAGATTGATTACAAGATTAATTCATTACAATTCCTATACAATCTATATATAGAAGAAAATGTGGTAGTAGGTGTAGTGGAGGTGATAGTGGGTTAGGTGAAGTGGAGTGTGTGGTGAAGTGGAGGTAGGTGAAGTGGAGTGTGTAGTGGAGTAGGTGAAGGTAAAGATGAGAAATTCTAACAATTAGGAATTTGAATCTCATCTAAAACTTATAGACAAGTATTATGAGTTTTGAAAAATATGGAACCAAAAGTTGCGGCGGGTCAAGCTCTAATCTGAAAGAGAACTTTTCTCACCCTTTTTTTCCCCATGCAGTAGCAATCAACTCTCAATTTTTATTATTTTTATACCTATTCCTATTTTCATATTTGTTGTTCCCTTTTAGGAGAATGTATCAACAATTTGACACAATTTTATTGCAATATTTGGCATCCAAATAACAACTGCTCACTCTTCTTCACTTAGTTAGTTATATTGAGTCTGTTCGTACTTACGCTAGTTCAATAATGATGTCAAATGCTAGGAGAATTATTTGCCGGAAAATGTTAACTATCAATGCCTCCCATGCACGTTGAGGGTATTCCAAGTTCTTCTTTTGGTGCTGGATAAGAATTTTAGTTGGCTTCTACTTGGGACATTCTAACTTTTGACAACAATATTCTAATTTTCAAAGTAGTCCTCCCTCTCCCCCTTTTCCTTCTTTTATTAACTTTTGTGATTTTTTTGTAGAATTAGGTTATAGAATGTGGTATGGGCCTTCTATCAGTATATCATTGAATGATTGGCATGCTTACTATTTTCTGTTCTTTTGAGGTTCTGGGTCATGTTACCTATTTTGCTTCTTTTTTTAATTTTAGTTTAGTTTAGTTTTTTTCTTTTCTCCTTTTCTTCCAGGGGTGGGATTTGTAGACCCTCAAAGTATATTATTAGTAACTGGATGGCAAAGGACTTGCCACATGCATGTTCAGTAGGCCATGTATGAAATTTTCTTGTAAATAAGTTTTTTGTAAGTTCTTCTGCCAAATGTGTTGTCTGCATTGTTTCCTTTTTTTCATAAGTGGGAAAATAAAACAGTTTTCGGAAACAAAACCAAACAAGCCCTACGTTTGGAGACTCATCTCTGTGAAACTAGAACAAGTGGTAGAATCACTGGATATCTTTATATACCTTTCTGTTGCTAGCATTTCCTTATTTTACATGTATCCAACGTTATGCATTTTATGTCCCAGTGACAGAAAACGCCGAAAGAAACATCAGCTGGATGGTCAAAGTGATTTTTCTGGAAGTGCTAAAATCTCAGATGGGTCCGATGATCGAATTAGACACAGAAAGCTTACATCATCTGATTCCAAAGGTGTTCTTGGGGAGCAGGTACGGTTTGAAGAATTTGGTTCACTGGAGTAAAACACTGTAAATATTTGGTTCTGAATTTTCTGATAATAGTGCTCCCAATTGTATTTTACCATGATATGATCTTTCTTCTTCTTGATCCATGGGCAGTTAAGCCAAGTGCAGACAGAAATCAACATGCTGAATAGCCACAAAGGCCAACTGGAGGTTTGTTTAATTTCTTTGAAGTTGCAATAGCTTATGGATGATCACTAGAGTATGAATTGCTTTCTTGTTTATCTTGGCGTGAAAATTTTGAGACATCTGGAGGCACGTGGCACAGGGTTTGCTATCATTATGTTCCAAATGCAATTGTTAGGAAATGGTTATGTTCCAACTTAGTTTGTACATTGCTTGATGGATTCAAGTGTATGTAATGTGATGGCCAAAGTAGATACTGTGTGGTAGTCATTGGTGAAATATGAGTCAATATTTCCGTATGTTAAAGAGTTTTTTTTTGCAAATTGCTTGCATTGTAAGTCATTGTACTTGGGTTTCATTTTTGTGATTTATTGTTCAAGTAAGTTGTTTAAACATTATGGATTAATGACAACCATGCATATCTAATTTTATGCTTGAATACGAGGTCAACTTGAAGTACGAATATACATTTGACAATCTATTTTTGCAATATCTAACCTTAGTGATTAAGGTAAAAGATTTTTCTAGATATGATATGCTTTCTAGTTTTGTAGACATATGATATCTCAAATTCTTTAACTACAAACTTGTAAATACTGAATTTTAGGATGTTTACTTAGGTTGGCCAACACATTTTAGTGGTTTCAATATGATCAGTAACCTAATAAATACACTTTAGCTTCTAAAGAAGAAAAGTTGAAAACCAAATTGTCAGGAAGCATGATACATAGTTATATATAAACCTCACACTATCTTGGGAGTGGAGGGGAGGGGAGGGGAGGGGAAGGGAAGAGGAGGGAAGAAGAGTTTCTCTTCCTCTTATTTAGATTATAAGGGGATGCAAAAGGAAGGGAAGGGAATTAACATGAGCAGAAAGTAGAGTTATGGGCTGTCTTTGTGCTTCTGTAATCAATGCATTGAAAATATTTCTATTTCTTTTGGTACGGGGAACTGGATTGTGATTTGTCCATCTCAATCCTACAAGGACACGTTGGAGAAGAATTGGCAGTTTCCATTATCAGTAGAACTTAGTTTAGCATGAGCAGGTGCGCTTTCTAAGTAATGCTAGAAATATTCAGATTGGGAGTATTCTCCAGGATGATGATGTCAGCAGTATGTGTTTCTCCATGCCTTTTGGATGAGCTGATGCTGTAAGGGAAGAGGTTTGCAATATTTGTATGCTTGTTGATATTCGGAAGAGAATAATCTTAGAGATCATTGGGTTGAGGTGATTCATTTATGGTGATTAAGAGGGTGAGATCCAGTGTATGAGTTTGGGTCGAGAGTTTCTTCCTGCAATTGGGAGGCTAATGACAATTCCCAGTTGGAGGTTAGTTGCTGATGAGTGCACTTCTTCTTGCCAAGTGAGGGGTGTGTGTTCTCAAGATATTTAGTTGCATATCTATCCTCCTTGATGGGATTTTCATGTGTTCCATAATGGTGTGTTGTTGTTTTCTCCATTTTTATTCATTGAAGCGAAACTTGCCCTTCCCGTGTCCCTCTTTTCCTTATTCAGTATTTAATAGTTCTATTAAAAAGAAGTCTGGGTTAAAGTTTTGATAACTATTACTTCGTTTTCCACCACCTCATTTGTTAAATCATACAAGGATCTTGTTTTACATTTATTTTCTGTTGTTGGGTCTTTTTCAACCTTTTTCAATAATAGACGCTCTTTGTTCCTTTTGTTCTTTGTATTTGAATGTGAAGGCATACTATCTGACATGATTTATGTGATTGTGGGAAGATATACTTGGAAGAGAGTGTCCAAGAAGTAGATTGTCTAAATTCGCAGATCCAGGAACTAGAGATGCAATTGTGCCAAGAGAAAGAGGAATGCAAAAGGTATTTATACTAGTAATAATAATGAGTATTAAAAAGAAGAAATCTTTCAGTTTTTATACCTAGAGTAACTGGATTGATCAGTTCATGTTGTCTACTTACCGGCATTGTTTATTCTGAAGTGTTATGTGCTGATGAATGAATCCTCTTTCTAACTTTATATATATTTATTTCGTGGGATAGAATCACTTCAAAGATTAAGAAGTTCGTCAAAGCACATAATCGTTACTCACGCTTACAAGATGAACTGAAGAGGCAAGCTTCAATATTTTAGTTGTTTCTCTGCTGTCTTATGCATGCTTTTGTTTGCTTAGTTGCGTATGCTTCAATAAAATTCTCTACTTGGGTATTGAATAGTTTTATGATTCGATTATTATTTAAAATGTGAAGGTCGCATGACCGACTTCAGAAGCTGGGAGATCATCTGGGTTCAGATGCTGCTAGGCTTGGTGCCACTGAGGATTCAAGCATCAACATTTTAAGTGATGGAGAGCCTGCTGGTAATCATGCAATGAGCCCTCCGAATCAGCTGCAAAAGAATGTTTCTCCGAACAAGAAAAGGCTACAGGTGAATGTGGAAGCTGCTGAGGAATCGAAATCAGGTAATACTTCTATGACATTGCATTTCTATACAAAAAGTTATCCGCTTTATTATATTTTATTTTTTCAGTAAATTATCAATACATTGAGTTGTTTGGTTGAAGCAACTATCACTTGTTTTCTTTCAGTCACTGGAGTTAATGTTTTCCAAAATCACTTGTAGTTTACCAAGATTTGAGAGTTAACTCTTACGGTTCATTTACTGTCAGGGAGAGGTGGCAATGGTACTTGGAAATCCCATGACCTGTGTACATAAACACAACATGTATGACACATCACTGATTAGCTCTTTAGAAATCTAGATCTGTAGAAAACTGTGTGAGTGTCTGTTAGAATTAATGTATAGGAAAAGAGAGAGAGAAACAAATATTAGAATTAATGTATAGGAAAAGAGAGAGAGAATAAATTGATTGTATTATTAATTGATTTCTTGATATGTTACAATGATTCCTATATATAGAAGAGTAGGTGGTAGTAGGTGGTAGGTGGAGTAGGTGAAGTGGAGGTGGTAGTGGTGTAGTGGGTTAGGTTTAGTGGAGTAGGTGAGGTGGTAGTGGTGTAGTGGGTGGATTTTAACAGTGTGTCAATATTATATTGGGACAGATTGTGTTTGAGTATCTGCATTTATGTGGAAGAACCAAAAAGTTTTAGATAGTGAAGGCAGTTGACAAATTTACAATGTATTTATTATAGCTTGTGTTGCTCACATTTATGAAGTTGATAATATGGATGCGATCTTGTCAACTATGTAAGGTTGCTTGTGGGTTGCAAAATCTTTGGTAATTTGTTTGTACCAAAATGCACAAAATATGAAGCTGGTTTTATTTTACTGTTGAGATACCACTTTAGAAGTAACTGGCTTGATACATAAAAGATGTTCTTGCTACTAATGCTTACATTTCTAATATTATAGGCTTATATAAATTAACCTAATTGTATACCATAAACTCTTTGCCCCTCCCGAAGTTAGAGTTTTGGTGTTTTAAATGAACTATGACAATAGTATTTTATCCAAATTAATGTTGCAGTTTGGGGTTTCAGCATTAAATGGTTAATTATTTTAGAATTCCAACAGTGACAAATGAAAGCAATTGGACTTGTGTGACATAGATAACAAAAATGTAATTTTTTTGACTTATCAGCATATATCAACTAAGATAGTTAAATAAGTGGTATACATGTAAATCTTGGCAATTGGTACATGCATCTACAAAATCAAATACTCAATTGTAATTTTTCAATAATGAAAAGCTTTTTGTAAAGTATATATTAGATAATTCTAATACAAAAAAGGAAGCATTTTAAGTAGTCAAACATAAGGTATGAATCTAGAATAAGAAAAATATTAAAAATGGAGCATAAGACGTCAATTGTAAGATCGAAGGAAGAGGGGGGGGGGGGGGGGATGCGCCTTTCTTGAGCTTGGAGCCTTACTAAAGGCACTGGTCTGAGGGCTTTGTGTGCAATTGACTGAAGGGAAGCTTGAAAAGAACGAGGTCCTCTCTTTGAGCTGGAGCTTTTTTTGGAGCCTTGCCAAGCCTCTAACAACTATGGGTGGTGAAGCAGTTATTTTAAGAAGTTAATTGGTCCTATGATTGTTTGATTCGAGATGTATGAGTACTTTAGTCTGAATGATGTGTATAAAATAAAAAAAATAAAAAAAAAAGGAGTCTGGATGATATTCTAGCATTAAAAACATCAATTGACTATTTCAGTTTGTTATGCTGGGGTTGACTTTTGTTGCATGCATCAGTTGAGTATCATAGAAACAATTGTAGATGGTTTTTTGCTCAATTATATATTTATTTGGTAAGTTTTGTTTTGATGTTTATGTTTATGCTTTGAGATAAACTGGGATTATGATCTATCATTGCTAGCTATGTATTGGCATGAAGCTTGTGCTTGTGTTTATGGTTCTGACATTTTTGTGGTACACCAGCAAATCTGATGAAAGGAGAAGGAACTATGATGGGAACAATCAGATTACAGAAGAATTCCCGATGGAATATGCAACATTTTCAATACAACAATAACAAGGAAGCTGAGATAGAGGATAATGGAAACAACAATCGTAGGACCCTGGCCAATGAAGACATGCCTAAAAGGGGGAAGAATTTGTTTACTAATGTTTCCTCAGCAGAGAAGGTGCCTTTTTATTTATTTATTTTGGTGTGCATTTTTGTTGATTGGCATATAAAAGGTGAAAAGGGAGGGAAAAAATGTGTGGAATGGTAACACTTGATGCTATTTCTTACATTTTCTCTCAAAAAACTGAAAGCATGAATTGGAGGCAGGCAAATGTGTGCTTTCTAGCAAAGCTTTTCTAAGCATATGAAATAGTGACAGTGCTGTTGATATTAACACAAAATGGCATTGCACATAGCAGGTAGTGTGTCAGATTTGCACTTTTAGCATAGATGAAGTATCCAACATGGTTAAGGTGTAAAATGGCTCGCAGCCCGTGGCCCTGGGTGGGCCTGGCCTGTTTGGGCTCAGGACTGACCCAGCCTGAGCCCTTGGGCATGGGCCACCATTTTGCACCGCAGCCCGGCCCGGTCCATCAGCCCGCTTAAGGCCCACTTGGTCCACCAGAGGCTCAGCGTCTTTTTTAGTGAAAAATAATAAAATTTTGTTTGAAAAAATAAAATAAAATGGTTAGGCCCGCCCAAGCCCAAGGCCCGGCCCACCAGCCCGAATACTCCCTGGGCCCGGGGCTATTTTTTTTGGCTTGTGGTTTGGCCCAAATTTTGACGGGAGCCCATGAAGCCCGACACGAGCCGGGCCGGGCCAAGCCAGATTTACACCCCTCCATCTCCCAGTTTTCTTGATAATACTTGTGCAAAGCATTGGGGAATTTTCATCAAAACCTCTTTTCAGCTCATAGCAGTTATGGACCTGTTAGAAACTCACAAAATGAAGAGCCCCTGATATTGGTGGCCCAATTGGTACTAGGGAAAATTTTTGGTTGGCAGTATTGATAGGGGTTGTGATATCAGTGGAGCCGAAATGTTTCACAATTGCACCAAGTATTTAGCACAACACCACCAGACTTGTAGCCCAGTGGTGTCTGGAGGATTTTTCCAAGTTCAAGATGGGATTCAATCCCTAAGAGGTCATTTCCTAAAGTACGATAATGTATATGATGATGTTCTTAAGATACTGATTTTTTTTTTTATTATACATGTTTACCATTCTGGAAAACTGCTCTCTCTCTCTCAAGATTCATTGAAATCCATTTGCTAAATTCAATTGCTTGTATGATAAAATCTGCAGTTTAAGGGTTCTGAACCAGGCCTGATCTTGCCACCTACCAGCATGGCTGCTCATGCAGTCGATGAAGTTCTTGAAACAATCGAAGTGGAGGATCTTGAGGTTGTTGAAACAGCTTCTGCAGGAGTTCACAAAGGGGGTACCTCTGGAATCCCAGGCTTGCCATTTCCACTGCCGCCGCCACCACCACCACCTCCTCGTCCAGTCCCGCAAAATGGTTATCCACAGGTTGGCTTTATTTATGAGCATATAGAATCCTCGAGTCTCTGCATTATTTCTGCTTTCCAGTTTTAGTTCAACTTAAGTTAATAATAGAAGAGCATCTGATTATGTTTACCAATTTATTTTAAGTATGCTAAGTTTGAATTCCAACTATTATAATAATTGTATTGAATTGATAAATTGGCATCTGAGGTGATCATTTTGATTTTGGTTGCAGTATCAGGGTGAGGATGAGAATGTAGATGTGGAGGCACTTGAGGAGGAGATGGTTGATGTGGATATTGTTTGACACTACGCAGTAGATTGCTTTCTGTCACTGTTTGCATAACTCTTTCCTTCTTTGATAACCTTGTAGAGAGAAGCCGTTAAGTATGGTTGGTATAATTAACATGCACTTCAACAATTGTTTTGTTTTATTTTCTTTAGAATGCTGTGTTGAAATGTGGAGAGAGTTGAGAGGGTTGTTTTGAAACCTTGTAATGGAATTAGAAACAGCAGCTCAAGCAAAGAGAATTTTGAATAGCAAATAGATGGATTCCTACTAGCCTTTTGTTTAGATAGACTTTGATCACTCAGATTGAGACCTGGTGTAAGGGCATGTCTTGAAGGGCTCCTTGTTTGACATGGTATGTTTGAATCTTGAATTTGTAGAGGAAAATGAAAGAAATGAAATTATATACACACGCACATATATATTAATTTTTATGGATAATAAATTTTTTTTTTTTTTTAAAAAAAAAAAAAAAAAAGCCCCTGATTTCCTTTTTTGACAAATACTTTCTTGACCCAACGAGGAAAAAATGGATTATTTCACTTTCGCTTTCTGCCTCTTTCGTTTCCTTTTTCCTTTCTCCATAAGTATGAGATCTACCCATGGTCTCTTGATGGCTAAATTTGTACATTTTGGATTTTTGCTCGGTTCTGCTGCTGCAGATTCAGTGATTGAGGATGGTTGGTAGCAAGATGATCACTACTACGTAGTGTCACCTTGCTGGCAATGTATATTCATCTTTGAAATCCCATTCAAGTTATTTCCCAGGAACAACCTTGCTGGCAAGAAGATCACTACTGCATAGTGTCACTGTCACCAATTAAGTCCGAAGATGTCCCCATTAACCAAATTATGTCCATAGAAGGTAGGTTGAAACATATTCATGAATACAGGTTATTGCACTTGTAGTGCCTTCTTTTCTTCTCTCTCTCTCTCTCTCTCTCACATTGCATTTTGGCATGCATCAATGGAATCAAGATCTCTTCGTGTCACTCTTTTCAACTTGAAGTAGATTACTCACCCACCCTTTCCTTCTGCTGCTGTCCCTTTGACCTTTGGGTGCCGAAGTTGTATCCCTACATTAATAGCGAGACTTGCGTGTAAGTATTCAATACATCCTATATGAATTAATTACATTTTTCATCAGATATTATTTAAAAAATGTTATTAATTGTTAATTTTCAGTGACAAATTGAAAATTATCACAAAAAATGACTAATTATAAATTTTAGCAACAATTTTAAAAAATCATCACAAAGAAATGATACTAATGTTCAATTTTTAACGACAGTTTAAAAAATTTATCACAGAAAAACGTCACAAATTGTAAATTTTAATTATAATTTATAAAATTTGTGACAAAAAAAAGTCGTCAAATGTCAATTTTTAACGATATATGCAAAAAAATATCACCAAAAATTATTTTTAGTAACGATTTTATTAAGACTTATTTTCAATAAAACTTAATAAGAATTAAGTCCAACTATTAAGAGCTATTAGTAGTTTACCCATATTAACATTATTTTCTGCACCCCAAAAAAGAACAAAGAAAAAAGAGAGCACATTTCTTACATTCATGACATCCAAAGACCCATTTCTTCAGCTCCTGTCTACCATGATTTGTATGTGCTAATTGCATTTGAAACACAATGACACGTTCATTTGCAACCCAGAAATTCAAAAATCCAATTCATCAAATTGTTGGAACCACCACAAAAGGGGGAAAGTTACTATTCTTTGAGATGCTAGATACACCCTTAACAAAAATGTCACATCTATGGTGATCAAAACCATTCCCTCAAATTTTACAGTAAATGATGAAACAAAAAAATATCATTTGAAATTTAACAATCTAAGGATAAAAAATCTAACCAATTTAAATGTCCATTTTTAATGTCTTACATTTCCTAAATAAATGTAGCACAATTCTTGGTGATATGTCCAAATGGCACCAAACATCAGAAAGGCAGGTTAATTGTATAAATGATGGTGCACGTATCACCACCGCTATCCTTGAAAAACCTTATTTTAAGCTCATTGCCTGTACTTGGCTGGCAAACAAAATCATGATTTTGAGGGGGCGTCATCTCATCTGCTTGTTACAGCTCTTCTTCTAAGCATTTAGGACACTTGCATCTAAAACCATAATCTGCTAGCAATGCCTGTCTCTCTTCAAAAGGAAGGTCCTCTTCTATATATGATATGGTTACCTGGAAATGATCAAGGATGTCAAATATTTCATAGCGATCATCGAGTATTGAGTATGACAATAGAGCTTCAAAGAGAGCCATATGGTGATTATTACTGATTCTTAAGAAATAGAGGAGTCATGTTTTAAGATAAGCTAATTTAGATGAGATATTACCTCTTCTCCCTTGCTAATAGGTCGGAGAGCAATTATTGTTGCTTGGCCATCCCTGTCCTGCAATTGCAAACAATGACGAAACAATCATAAAAAAATCTAACAAGCACGGACACAAACACTCGACATGATATGACATGCCAACATGTTAATTTTCAAAAGTCCAAGACTGGATATGCGGGGGATAGAAACAATCAAATTAAAAAATTCCCAACTTTGGAAAGATAATTACCTCTTCTCGTTTGAAGGCTTTTGCATTGGGATGACAGGAGTGGTTCATACAGCTTTGAAGAGGGAAAAATGCAGTGCCTAGAAATATAATGATGTTAATAGTTGGAATATAATAGTTGAATTTTAATTGATTATTGCTTTGTACGAAACACTTCAGCAAGGAAAAAATGATGGAATAATGATAAGAGACATTTCCACAATGGTGACAACCAGACACTTACAAAAGAAGTCAGTGAAGACATACCTACATCCAATAACAGGAAATCATCAAAACTAACAAAAAATATAATAAAAGTAGAACACTTAAAAATGATTTTGACTTTTAACTTCCCCTTATCATTGTGACACTTTTCACTTGAATCAAGCCAATCCTCATTGGTATTGCTCTATGTTGCACATGAAACTTGAAAGAGTCATCTTAGATGATTTTTCATCATCTTGACTAAAATTGGTGCCATGCCTAGCTTCTCACTATTGCATTCATCACTTGCATCTTATTTTCAGCCATTCTTCCATCTCAGCATCTTCATGTCCTAGACATCAATTACTTGTGCATGTTTCTTGCTTATTAAACATTTTAAACTACAAAACATGCCTAACCTTATAATACCTGACTTTTCGAAATTTCCATACAACTTAATATACATTGAACCAGCACACCTCTCCATTAAAAATCTGCTTCATCATATGCAACTTCATACATTCTTTACAACCCCCCTCATGGAAGTGAATCCAAGATAACACAGATAGGTGTTTTAGCTTCCGCCCACCATCAATTCCCCATCCTAATTCCTAGTTAAATTATGATGACATCTCATATGCTCTATCTTACTTTGTCCTACAAAACATTCAGATTTCCAATTGAACCTCTATAATTGTAGTCTCTTCATTCAGAATTAAATTTCAAGCAACATAAACCATAGGATATCTTCCTCAATATGTCCAGCAAGCTCATCCATAAGATCTCCTCCAAAACAACTTTACGTGAGTGGTGATTTAGTTCTCTCTTATTATTGTGCATTATACATTTCTCACTCATCTAAATATTGCATTAATATAGCCCAGCCTTTCTTAGTTAGTTGAATATATATATTTATTGTAAGCTTACAATATAAGGTTTACCAGCAAATATTGCACTGCCTCTCCTAAAATTAAATCATACCTTCACAACAAACTGAATAGTCATCACCAAGAGCATCCAGAACAGGCCGAGTAGTTATTTCAGCTTCTTTCTGCCATGAAGTTAATAAGGAAACAGCATCAAAGCTTTCAATTAAGTAAAAAGCGTGAATATGTCCTAGGGCTGAGTGCAAACCTTATCAGAGTGTGGAAGATCATCAATGTACAGAAAGTAATCCTCCACTGGAGAAGGTACAACCAAATCACTGTCCCATAGAAATGCATCAACTAAGTATGAAAAGGTGGATGTGCCATGTGATATGAATCAGGAAGCATATATAGAGTTTTGTTTTCAAGTGCTAGACCAAGCCAATGCAAGTATAGAAGTTTTTGCTTGCATACTTGATGGATAACAAAAGACTAGAAGGCTTGATAAATATGACACTTACAGATTATTTAGCTCGAACATGCCGATAATATGCCCATAGATCTCAAGGGAGAATACTAAGAAAGTGTTAAGAAAATTTCAAAAATCATGAACCAGCTAATATTAAGCAAAACATTTCAGACAGAGGATTATCAATTGATCAAAAATTGTGGGGATACATGGCTCACATTCCTTGTCAAAGATAGCTGCCTTTAACAGTTGCAGAGACTGAAGCATTCAAACTGAATCATTAGTAGTAAATTGCCACATTAATCCGGACCAACATAAAGTGCACATCAATAATAAGTCAAAGAAGTCATTGACAGGTATGTGGAACCCCATCTTAAAAAGGGATCTAGCCTCTTTTCTCCAGGAAAATTTGTTCTTTAGTCAATAACACGAACATTTTTAAGAGACATTTTACAACTCTTGGTGACAAGTAGCATAATACAAAGGGCTTTGTATGCTCAGTACGAATGAAGAAATGTAACCATCATAATTGGCTAAAATGTGAATGAGGGAAAAGATCAATAGCAAGCTCTCTGAATGTTCTGTGAGATGGTTTGTTCTACATTTGGGGTTGACTTTTTTAGAAGCTAAAAAAGCTAGTGTGCTTGGGAAGTTGATAAAAAAGCTATTTTTTTGTGAGTGAAAAAAGTTGATGTGACATTTGGTTTCTTAGCTAATGACAAACAACTTAGTGGCTTTTTGGCTTTTTTTTTATCATTACCCCAAACGCCCACCAAGTCAGATGCACTTTTGATTCAATGATTAGAGATCTTTTTAACACATTGTCTCTTAACTAGTTAGCACTGTCTATTCCAAAATTTGGCACGCATGAAAAACTGACAAGCATTGAGACACATACAATCCAATGGTGGGCTTGATAAAACATGTATCCAGCATAGACTTATTCAGGGGTTCAAGAATTCAATTTGCAATACAAGCACTATATCCACATGACACTTTCATATGCACACAAATAGCAGCTTGTACAACAGGTACACGTCAATATGACTCTTTTACATGTCTACATACATGTACATGAACATAAGTACACAGTTTTACATGCAAAAATATAAGTCCATGTAACATACAGATACAGTTATACCAAGAGATTTGGATTGAGGAACATTACACCAAGGAACTTAAAAGGCTATATTAGTGAGGAGGGTGACATGGTTTTTTAGAATAAAGGAAAAAGGAAAGTACGAATATAGAAAGGGACAAGATAAGCCTGTCAAAAGACTAATGAAAGGAACAGCAAATGCATCAACTTTTAATCTAGTAGAGGTATTAAGATTGGAAATAAAGGAATAATCATGAAAGCCAAGAAGAGGTAAGTAAAGGCATAATAGACAGAATACTACCATTTAAGAAGAGTTGAACTTTCATGTTCTTTAAGTCGGTTCTTGTTTTTCTTAATAAATTCCAGAATATTTTTATTTTATAGATAACAGTAAGTAAGTCTATTTTCTGTTCTTTTTTTTTTCTTTTCTTCTTCAGATGGATGGCACTTATGAATTGTAAAGAACTATTCTTGCAAAGGAAAGTGTGTGGAAGTTGATCAAGATCCAGAAGATTACAGTACAACACAACATATTACCAGCCATGGATGTAGCACTAGTGCAGGGAAAACAGTCAAAAGGCAAACCTTGAATTCTCACACTTTAACTAAACATCAGCTTATAACATGCTCAAATAGGGGATGTTCTTCTGTGAACCTAAACAGCTCAGACCAGGCACTTAGGAATAGAGATGGTGATGAAAATGTATGTTATTATGCTAAATTGGCATTTGGATAGCTGTGGTCAAAGGTCAAGATGAATATGGAAACATCAAATCTATTGTTGATACATGTTAAAGATAAGATTGTTGATTGTTGATTGTTGAGCATATTCGCAGACTGAATGGTAGAAAGGGATAGCAATATTCATTTGTATTTGTTCACTTTTTCCAACAAGCACACCATCAAGAGGAGAACATTTACCATGAATGCCAGCTCCTTTATTTGCATCCTAAATGAAGTTTCTTCGTGACAATCAACATCATCTGGTAAAGCAATGCACTCCCACCACCTATAGTTAAATGTGATAGTGTCATATACTTTGAATAACCAAAACCAAAGTAACACTTTCAGAGGCCAAAGAACAAGTACGCATAATAATAAACTAGTCAAGACTTTATATGCTGTGATCAACGAAAAATAGAGATGTCACTAAAAATTACAACTACCTTCTCTTGTATCCCATTGATATCGGTTTCCATGCCTCCAAAAGTAGAGAAAGATTACAACTGTCAGTAGTGCACTTCCCCTCCTTTTCAAGATTAGCTGTTTTTGACTTCTTGTACCTTAAAATGGTGAACGAAACCACCTGAAAATGAAAACCAAATAAGTTTGTTAACATAACACCACTTTCATGTCATACATATGCAGAAGAAATATTTATACTCGTATACAATTCCAGACCCAAAAAAAAAAGTTTCTATTTGTATTAGGTTCATTATAAGGTATGTATGGTAATCTGGACTTTCTCTATGTGGAAAGATATAAAAGTAGAATGATTGTCTACAGTAAAGCATACCTTGGCAGCTAGGAGGAAAATGTCATTTGTTTCTGAGAGAAAAGAGCAGAGAAAAGGAAAAACAAATTAACAAATTTTGCTTAAAGAATATTTCTTTGTTGCAGTTAACTAACGAAGTGTTAGAGCCTTGCCATTAGCATGTTGTATAAATTTTAGAAGTGCCTCCTTATTTAATGATTTTGATCTTGCCCCCGTACAAAGTAGAGAATGAAACAAGTCCCAATCAGCCTCCGCACATAATTTGCTACAAAAGTTCGGCAACAAAAAAAGAAGTGATTCATATTCAGTGCATGATTGTTATAAACAAGGATGAAAAATAGCACAATTTCTTATGCATACAGAGATATAGAGAACATACACCCTTGAAACAAGCATATGGTATAGAGCAGGTTTAGTAATTGATTCGGCTGGCCTAGCTCTACATAACAAGGATAATCTAAGCCAATATGTCATTCGAAAACCTCGACCAGAATACAAGTTTCACAATGTGGGTGCCCATGGTTATATGTCAATTCTCTTGTTTTTTTCTTTATCATAGAATTCTTAGGCCATTGATTCAGACACTTCGTATCAGTGTGAACAGAATCACTGTGTCCTTGTAAATAGTTTGGAATAAAAATAAATAAAAATCAACCTATTAATGCATTAGTAAGAGGGAGCCAATGAAGCATCCCCAGTTCTGGACTTGATTGTAATCACTTACTTAAAGTATCCTTTTATTATTATTTTCCTTTATTTTTTGTACAATTTCATTCAAGTATCTTATTAGAAGAAAACATATACTCAAATTTGATAAGCATTCTAGGCTTACATTTACTGCTGCTTAATTTTTCATGGTCAAGGTTGAAATCTTGCAGAGCAACACACTCTGCTACAGAAAATCGTATTAAAAACACAAAATCCACAACCTCCTTAGGAAGGTATTAGGACCCCTACCTGCAGTAGTAAGATTCTCTACATCCACCTGGACAAGAAATAACTGAAGGCAATGGGAACTGTTTTGAAAAAGGCAAAACCAATTCACCATTCATCAATGATTCCACAATCTCTTTAGGAAGAGGAGTTCTATATTTAGAACTGCTGGAACCATATTCTTTCGAGCTTCTGTGATCTACTACATAAGAATCGTCCTCACCGTCAGATGAATCAATTTGACATGTCTCTTTTGGGATATGTGAAAATGGTTTCCTCTCACATTCATTATTTGTGGAAACACCCAAATCTTGCAAATAGAGTTTCCTCCCAATTTGAAGTTCAATGGAGCCAATAAAGCAGAAACAGAAACTACATACTAAACAGTCAATCTGCAGCACGACAAAAAAGAGAAAGGAAACATGCAAACCATAAGGGGGAGAGAAGAAGAAGAAGAAAGAAAAAAAAAACCCTAGTTCATAGAGAGAGAGTTAATATTTTCAAATTACAAAACCTTATTTGAAGAATGTTGAGAACCAGCAAGCATTTGGTCCTTCAAAACAAGGTCCCCTTCTTCGAAGTCCACGTCAGCATAGACACCTACAGTTCACAAAAATAGTTGATGGTTGATGGCAACAAACACTTGTTTCATTGTTTTAGGTATTATATACTTCTCTAAGGTTGTGTTTGGTTCGAGGAGTTGATGAGAAATGGAAAGGGAAAAGGAAATGCAATCTCACTTTTTGTTTGATTATAATGGAAAACACATGGGAAAAGAAAGTGAGAGGAAAACACAATCCCACTTTTTATCTTTTGTGTTCACTTATGCTATTTTCTTTCTCCATTTCCCAACTCAACCAAACATAGGTTGGAATTCGAATCCTATCAATTCTTTCTCCTTTTCTTTCTATTTCCTTTCTCTTTCCCTTTCCCTTTTCATTTCCCCCAACCAAACACTGCGTTAGTAGGCGAAATGTAAATAAAATATACTTACATTTCACATAATTTCACACACCATTTCCCTTTCCCTTTCCCTTTCCAAATCCCTCCTCAAATTCCCCAACCAAACATACGCCAAGCAAACAACAATCAAACAATGTAACCGTGTGCATTAACTCCAGCATAAAAGTCATTTTCCATCCTTCTCTAATTAAACGTGAACTCAATCACCAATTAGTCAATTCTTGCTGAAAGTAACTGGAAATCATTAAAAATTGGAACTTTAGTCTCTCAAACAGTCAAATCAAAATAACAACATTATGAGACTACCCTTTCCCAGGATGATTTTAATTCTATTTCTTTCAGGACATAAATCAAACAGTTGGTACACAATCATATGGGTCACTTCCCAACAACTCAAACCAACACACAACATCAGAATGAGACTAACCCAACAAAAAAACAGGTAGTCATATATAGTATAACGACTAAAAGTGAACATACCCTTTCCATGCTCGCCGTTTTGTCTTACTTTGAGTCCACGGATTTCTCTAGTTGTGGTAAGCTGATCGAAGTATTCCTGGGTTTAGAAAATCCAAAATCAAAATCATTCTCAACAACAATACATGTATGTGTGTTTGTGCGTGTGAATAGAGAGAGGGAAGGGGACAAAGCTTGCCTGAACTTGATGAGGCATAGGAGGTTTAAGAAGAGCTGAGATTTCATCTGCGAACTGAGAGTCGATTGGGCAAACCGCCTCCATTCAAACAAACCCTTATTGCCTAATTTCAAGAAAGTTTCTGCTGACGACAATGATTCGAGTGTTACACTGCAATTGCTCTTCTACTGCCTCACTCAGTCACAGTTTGTTTTTGTTTCATTTTATTTTTCTCTTCCCTTTGCTAATCTACTATTTACAAAAATAAAATAAAATAAAATAAAATTTTTGATGAATGGTTTGTTGTTTTTGCTACTCTATTCTTTACATAAAAATTAAAATTTTGAATTATCTGTTGGCTGGATTAGTTTACACACATTTTAACTAATTTTAAAATTTACGTAAAATATTTCTTTCACATGAATTGAGTAAATCTCATATAAAACTCGTGGGCGTGACTCGAAAGAATAGATGGCTCATAATGAAAGTTAAACTTGACATTTAGAGAAAGTACATTCTCTAGATTCCAAGTTGCATCTACTGAACCAACCTCTCAGGTTACATAAAAATTAAAAATTAAAAATTTCATTATGCTTTCATTTCTCTCCTTCTTTTTTTATACTTATTTTATTATAAAGAAAATTTATCTATAAATCTCATATTGGGGAATGATGATTCATTTAGTTCTAAGCATTTTCTTATAGACCAATTAGTTTCATTAATTTTGAAAAGCTAGACTTAATATATTATTTAAAAATTAGATTTACGATTATACCCTTATTTCTATTATATTCCTTTTCTTTTTTTCTTTTGTGCTAGAAAGGTAAGGTACATAATATGTGGGAATCAAATTTTGGATATTTTTTTTTATTTGAAAAATATTTCAAAAGGAATACAAAAATAACTTAAAACATAGAATTCTTCAAATATTCTAAAAAAATGAGGGATTTTTCAAACATTTCAAAAGGAGTACAAAAATTACTTGGTAAGTTTTGGCCAAATATATAATTTCAAGCTGTAATATTCTAATATGACACTCAAACGTAGCACTCCAATATACAATCCCATTTTGTAACTCGAATTTCATTTTGCTCGAGTGGCCCGACTGCCCAAAACGACGTCGTTTTTGGCAGAAGAAGAAGAAGAAGAGGAAGAAGAAGAAGGAGGAGGAGGAGGAGGAGGAGGAGAGAAGAGGAGTTGAGAAAGAGAGAGAGAGAACAAAGAGAGCAGAACATCATCTTCATCAGTACAGCAACATCATCTTCATCAATAACAAATTTTTTATCACCCATTTATCACCCATCAACAACACATTTATCACCCACATCTAGACCCAATTGATCTATTGCTAACACCATCTTCATCAAAACACGCTCTTTCTACAAATTTCCCCCCTTCATCTTCAGATCTAGATCCACCAGAAAAAAAAAATTAAAAAAAATTAACATCTTCATCAACATATCATCATCATCATCATCAACAACAACATCTTCATCAACATCAACATAATTTTCAGATCCAGATTCGTTTTCAAATCTAGATTCACTAGGGGGGAAAAAAAAAGTAGAGTTTTGATCGGCGATCACCGCCATCGTCTCCATCTTTTCCCCTTCTCTCTTCCTTTTTTCTCCTCTCTCTCTCTCTCGCCTCCTCTCTTCCTCTTCTTTTCTTCTTCTCTCTTCCTCTTCCTCTTTTCTCCTTCTCTCTCTATTTTCTGTCTCTCTATTCAAAAAGTACGAAAAGAAAAAAAAAATCAAAACCCAAAACGACGTCGTTTTGGGTTTCGAGCCACCGAATTTCGAACTATCACAAAGTATTCCTCCAATATAACACTCAAAAAAAGAAAAAATCTTAGTGTAATATCCTAATGTAACACATAAAAAAATCATTACTGTATTTTTCTTAGACGTAACACTCTAATATAACACTCCAAAAAAATCTTCTTAGTGTAACACTCTAATGTAATACACACAAAAAATTTCTTATTGTAACAATTTAATGTAACACACAAAAAAATTCCTTAGTTTTTTTTTTTTTTTCAAACGTAATATTATAATATAACACTCCAAAAAGACTCTTTAGTTTAACACTCTAATATAATACACACAAAAACTCTCTAGTGTTACACTATAATATAACACACAAAAAAACTTCTTAGTGTATTTTTTCCAAATGTAACACTCTATTATAATACTCTAAAAAAATTACCTTAGTGTAACACTCTAATATAACATACAAAACTCCTTAATATAGCACTCTAATGTAATATCCAAAAAAACTCTTTACTATACTTTTTTTCAAACACAACGCTTCAATATAACATTCTAAAAAAATTCCTTAATATAACACTTTAATATAACACACAAAAAAAACTCTTTGGTGTGCTTTTTTCAAACATAACTCTCCAATGTAATAAAAAATAATCTGTATATTTTTCCTAAACATAACACTATAATGTAATACTAAAAAAAATGTGAGATTTTTCAAATCATTCCAAAAGGAATACAAATATCCCTTAGTAAGTTTTGGACAAATGTATAATTTCAAACTGTGAGTGTTACGTTTGGAAAAAGTACACTAAATAGTTTTTTTTAATGTTTTTGTATGTTACATTAGAGTGTTATGTTTGGATTACACTAATTGGAGTGTTACATTTGGAAAAAGTATGAATTTTTTTTGTGTGTCTATTACATTGAAACATTACATTTGGAAAAAGTACATCAAAGAGTTTTTTTTAGTGTTACATTATTACGTTTGAGAAAACTACATCAAGGAATTTTTTTAGTGTGTTATATTAAAGTGTTATGTTATTGGAGTGTTACATTAGAGTGTCAAATTTTTGTTCGTAATGTGAGATTTGTTCTAAAATGAGAGAAAATTCAAAACTTTTATAGTGTAAATTGCCCAAATATGTAATTTTACACTTCAATAAATCCACTTTTACCCCTAAAAAATTAAACCCAAACATGTAAGTGACTAACCTTTTATATAATTTCCACTTTAATGGGACATTGGGTTCATAAAAATAAAAAAATAATAAAAAAGGACTAAATAGTTCACAATATCACATTTTGAGATTTATTGATACTTCACCCTTATTATAATTCTATCTCTAACTAAAATTATTTAAAGGCCTGGTTTGGGAATATGGCTAAAAGTTACTTTTTGGCTTTTAACTTGTTTTACGTCATATCACCTCTTTATTTTTTTTTTAATATATTTTAAAAAAAAAATTTAAAAATCAACTTTTAACCTATTTATCAAAACAAGCCAAAATCTAATTTTAGAATTTAAATTTTTAGTTTCTCCTTCTACCCATCCTTTCTCCAATTATGTCTACCAAACAATTGATAGAAAACTTTGCGAAACATAAACTAAAAACCATTAAGGATTCAATTCTATACATGAAAACTATATGAATTTCTACTATACAAAATAAGTGAATACATACCTTGATCCATGATAGTATGAAATCCTCTTGTCAGAAAGAGAAACCTTGAATGGAAGAACTTGATCTTTAAGTTCTTTACTTGTCTAAGATCTTCAAACCACTTCTCTCTCTCTAGGCGATGGGAGCTTTCTTGTGGTGACAACTTAAGTTTTGTGATGGAGAGTGTGGTTTGGGACCTTACACTATTTATACTAGTATTCTTCCCATCAAAGAATCCATTCATTCAATGAACTTCATTAAATAGGTTAATGTATCTTATACATTCATAATAGATACATAATGCATCTCTAAGATTCATTCATAATGAATCTATCACATTCAATGCATTGACATTATCTCCATTAGTCTTCTATACATTATGTATATATATGTGCATTCATCAATGATTAGTCACCATCTAATTGATGTACGTGTATCTTACTTAATGAGATGAATCTAGTATAATCATGCATAAGCCACATTAAGCCATATTTAAGAAAAATTCTTACAATCTCCCACTTGGCTTGCATGATTATATTACGTCACTAGATTATCATAATATGGCCAACGTTCTCCCACTAGAAGATTGCACCATCACCATTAGGTTCTGTTCAATGAAATTATTAGCACCAAATCATTGTAGTCAGTGATTTACACATTGATCAAGACTGTACAATGGTTATAGTGTTTAACATGAATAAGTGAATCTTAAATCACAGAGATGACATTAGCAACATAATGGTGATTAATGCTAATTCATCTATAACAGTCTCGTTGTTTACATCTTCTTCTAAATTGTGCACAAGTATGAAGAATGAAAACAACAAACATAATCATTACTAACAGAAGATGATTATAACATAACATTTATCATGAACATAATACACTCATTTCAAGTCTAAACATGATAAACTTTCTACCAAGCCCATGCGCGCAACATGTTCGTGAAAGAGCTTAGGTGTGAGACCTTTAGTTAAAGGATCTGCTAACATAAGTGTAGTACCAATATGAGAGATGGAAACAGTTTGATTCAGAACCCTTTCTTTAACAACTAGATACTTTATATCAATATGCTTTGATCCTCCTGAAGTTTTGTTATTATTGGAGAATTGCACAGCAGCATCATTATCACAGTAAATCTGTAAGGGTTTCGAAATTGAATCGACAAGTTGTAATCTAGATATGTAATTCTTTAGCCATACTGCATGACATGTGGCTTCATAACATGCTATGAACTCTGCCTCCATAGTGGAAGAGACTGTTTATAACTCTTCCACAAAATGGGTCCATTAGTAAGCATAAAAATGTACCCATAAGTGGACTTTCGAGTATCTTTACATTCAGCATAATCAGCATCTGAATAACCAACAACTTCAAGGCTGTCTGTTCTTTAATAAGTGAGTATGTAATCCTTAGTGCCTTGTAAATATCGTAACACTTTCTTAACTACTTTCCAATGATCAAGTCCGGGTTTACTTTGGTATTGACCAAGCATACCAACTACAAATGCTATGTCAGGACGTGTACAAACTTGAGCATACATAATGCTCCCAACTGCAAAGGCATAATGAATTTCTTTCATTTGTTCCCTTTCTAAATTATTTTTGGGACACTGAAATTCACTAAATTTATTACCCTTAACTATAGGGGCAACACTACTTGAACAGTTATGCATGTTGAACCTTTTAAGAACCTTTTCGATATAGGCTCTTTGGGACAATCCTAAAACACCACGAGACCTATCTCGTCAAATTTCTATCCCAATGACAAAAGAGGCTTCACCAAGATCTTTCATTTCAAAATTTCTCGTAAG